CAGATCTATCTTTTTCCCCAAAACCCCAAAACCCCACGTTGCTGAAAATATGAAGAGAATTAGGTATTTAATTAATCATAATGCTAATTCTAATAGTATAATATAATACATATTTTTAATATTTTGAAAATGGAAAAAGATAGATCTGTGATTGATACTACCAAATCAAAGACAAATGAGGGACTACCAAATGATACTGAAATGGTGATAGAATCCTCTGAGGATTTAGAAGTAGTAAAGAGTTTTGATGATCTTGGCGTCAGAGAAGAACTACTAAGAGGTATTTAATTTCTTTACTAAATTAAATATAGGTATTTATGCATATGGTTTCAATAAGCCTTCTGCAGTATAACAAAGAGCAATTTTACCTATTATTAAGGGCAGAGATGTCATCGTCTAGAGTTAAAGTGGTACCGGAAAGACCTGTGTTTTCACAACTGGCGCTCTTTAATCTATTGATCTACAACTAAGAGAGCCCTAAGTTCTCATATTATCACCAACTAGAGAACTAGCTGAGCAAACTCAAAAAGTTGCACTCGCTCTCGGTGATTATATGCAGGTTAAAGTTCATTGCTGTATTGGTGGAAGAAACGTTAACGAGGATGTATTTAAGCTTGAGCATGGAACTCATATTGTTTCTGGAACCCCTGGAAGAGTTTTCGATATGATCCAGAGAAGAACCTTCAAAACTACTTCAATAAAAATGCTCATTCTAGATGAGGCTGATGAAATGCTTAATCAGGGTTTCAAGGACCAAGTCTATGATATTTATAGATATCTCCCATATGGTACTTAATGTGTAGTTATATCAGCTACTTTGCCTTAGGAGATTCTAGAAATGACTAATAAATTTATGAATGACCCCGTCAAAATTCTGGTCAAAAGAGATGAAATTACTCTTGATGGAATCAAGCAGTTCTTTGTTGCAGTCGATAAAGAGGAATATAAATTTGAGACGCTTTGCGACCTCTATGATACTCTTACTATCACTCAGGCTGTTATTTTCTGTAACAAAAAGAATAAAGTTGAGTGGCTTGCGAAAGAGATGAGAAAGGCAAATTTTACTGTATCATATATGCATGGAAGTATGCCTCAGAAAGAAAGAGATGCAATTATGGCTGAATTTAGAGCTGGCCAAAGTAGAGTTTTGATAACAACTGATGTTTGGGGTAGAGGTCTTGATGTCTAGCAAGTCAGTTTAGTTATTTGCTACGATTTACCTCTCAACAGAGAACTTTATATTCATAGAATTGGTAGATCAGGTAGATTTGAAAGAAAAGGTGTTGCCATTAATTTCGTTACTAATGAAGATGTTAGAATTTTGAGAGATATTGAGCAATACTACTCCACACAGATTGATGAGATGCCAATGAACATCACTGGGTTTATGTGAAATTAGATTAATTGAGAGATATAGACTTGATGAATAAGTATAATTAATTATTTAAAAGCACTTTATGAATTTATCTATCTTTAAATTTTAAGTCATTTTTTACTCCATGTTTTTGTCTAGATGTTGAAGATGTAGGCGTTATCATTTTCATAACCATAAGCATGGACTCTTCCATTCTTTTATAAGAATGTCCTTTAGTAGAATGTGTCCTTATTAGGAAGATTCCCGGTCTTGGTGACCTACTTGTTTACAGTGTCAAAAAGATATGAGGCATGTGAAGAGGCACCATCCTTTTTACCTCCAAATATAAGGATTTCAGTAGCAGAAACCGGGCATGAACCAAACCAATACTTGATATCACTTTCTAAATGAGGGGAATACACTTTAATTAACTCCCAATAAGATCCTTAAGACATATTGAAAGTATCAAGTCTTTCAATATCAGTAACTTAAGGCTCATACCCACCCAATACATAAATGAATCTCTCATTCAAAGTGACAGCTGTTGAAAGATACCTATTTCTGTTTAACTCTGGTTGCTCTCTCCATTCATTAGCATCAACCATAAAAACTTCACAAGTCTTGGAGGTGTTGTATAGCCTTGACCCTATTGCATAAATATATTAAGAGCCAATTGCTGCTAAGCAATGACCTTCTCTAGGATGAATCATATTTGGTAGTTAAAAAAGAGAGCCATCTTTATATTCATAAGCTGTATTGCTGGATTAAGAACTGTTCCTTGCTCCACCTGTGATAAAAATTCTTCCCTCTTTTGTTTGTATAGAACAAAATCTGATGGGAATGTTAAATTCGATGTTCAATAGCTCTCTTGTCTTTTTGTCAGTCTCAACATTATAAAAGGTTAATATTCTCTAGTCAAATTTAAAGAAATGTATTTTGTTTGTAATACTCTCCTCATTATTCTATGCACTTCCAAATCTTTACATTGTATTACTCATCTGCTATTAGCCTCTAACATTTACAAATTGAGATTGAGAGTCGCTACCAAAGGCCATGCTTTAACCCATTTTATTCAATCCTCCACCCATTACACTATAACTATGCTTTCTGAATTAAGGGTGAGCTATGGGAGAATTATTGCCTGATTTTTTTATTGGTTGTTAAAACAGAATTCTTTAAAGTTCAATATTGCTATAATTCAAAACGAGTCTCTCAGCCATGAATTATTTCAATAGTTGCCCATCAATCGACTCAAATTCAGAATGGTCTTTTAGAGTCTCAATCATCTGCTGAATACTAGACTCATAATTATACCAGTCATTTTTGTATTGTTAGACTTAAGATTGTGCTTCACTTAGACTCTCATAAAATTTCTTAATATCTTATTATGGATATAATAACTGACCACAGTCAATAATTTTTTCAAGATTCACTGAAATTTTCTCATTAAACTTCTTAGTTTCTTGGACCAAAACTTCTTATACAGTGAAAAGATTCCAATCTTTGCGTATTGACTGAAGCAAGTTGTTAAAAAATTCGTCGAACTCTAATCTCAAACTATCTCTGATGAAAATTATATGACTTCTTAGCTTTACTTTGTGGTTAGTGATACTTCTAGCTAGTGAATCGTTTACTTATTTCTCTCTTTTTCTGACATCATTCAAAGCTTGAGTGATTTCCGATTATAGTGACTCTGAGAAATCTAAGTTTTCAAGAGAATTGAGCGGAACAACTGGATGCAATAAATGAGTAGACTTTAGACATTTACTGCATACCTATTATTAGTCCTTAAGGCAAAAAAGAATTAGTTCCTCTGAATGAACTTCACATATTGTTGGATCTTATGAAGGTTTAGCTAACTCCTAAGACTATTCAATCATTTGAATTGGATTATCAACCCCTCCGTCGTCTTAATTCATTTTATTATTGTTTTTATAATTTCAAATTGTTAAACTCTCAGCACTATGGGGTTTTGGGGTTTTGGGG